GGGCTGTGTTTGTAGCTTATCTTTCCATACAAAACATTTCTGTAGTGACAAAGAATTTTGAAATGTCTCCACTTTTTGCCAGTAAAAACTTACAACTGCAACATTTTATTCTCCCCTTTTCTCACTAACTATAGTATGTACTTTGATGAGTTCTTTATGCTGCAGTGAGGTTCCAAAAAGTAACCATTGAAAAGACCAAATTATATACGAGAGACCTCAGAACACAGGAATAATCAACATAAGGAAGATCTTTAGATAAAGAGTTCTGAAAGCTTCTGAAAATTAGAACCACACAGCTAGGTAGGCCTACAAAGTCATATTGTCATATTCTGTGAAAAGCTTTCAAGCAATTTTGCAAGACACATGAATCAAGAGACTTTTTTTTTTCAAACTGTAATGAAACAATGGATGGGGGGAAAACAAATTAATGCTGAATGAAGAAACAAACAGAAACCATTCTATTTGGGAGTTCAAAAAATCTTAATGATGTGAATAGTAGCCAAATAGAAATAGAAAATATTAGTAGAGTAGAGCACACCTATAAAGAACTCTCTTGTACAGAACTGACGGAAATAAAGAACACATTTCGTTGCCCCCTTTTTTTCACTCTTTGTGTCAATTTTTCCCATGCTCTAGGGGACATGCAGAAGTGTGTCATGGATGTAGGAGAAAGGGGGAAGCAGCAAACACATATTTATAACTTCCTTTTTTCCTTCTCTTGGGAATAAATAAGTGACTGTACATGTATCTATATTAGAAAAAGAATGTTTCTGTGTGTGCCTTGACTGAAATAAAGAACTATTTTAACTGCCCGGGCTTGTTCTTTCCATCAGTGTTTCACTGTATATTCTTTTCCACCTTTTCCAGTAAGGCTACTTACCTTGATGTTTATTTAGATTCAGACACGCCAAGGAACAACCAAACAAATTATGTCACTTTGATCTTAGAAGAATCAGTAAGATAAGGCACCGTATTTCAACTGATGTTGCAAGCAAGCTCTCTGTCTCTCTTTTCTTATCAAAACGTGACAATGGCAATTCTGTTCTGTCAGGTTATTTCATGTGAGAGAATGAGGAAATTGCAAGTGGCCCAAAATAGCATAGCAATACTAGTACTGAAGAAAAAGATGACAGATCTTGCATCAAAAATGTTAAAAGCTCTGCACAGGCTTACAGCTGATTTAAGTATCCAATAGAAAGTTTGTACCATCTGTGAGAAATGTCATAACAATAATGCTCCTTCATATTTGTATGAACTTTAAACACCGTATGATTTATCTCGTCAGTTACGGTCATCCACAGATGCAGCAAACTTCAGAGCCCCAGGGTGAAATTAAAATGTTTTTTGTGAGAGAAGTTTGTAATTTTTTGGCCTGGAAATCTGGAACTCGTTGCCCCAGGACCTCAGAAAAAAGAATAAATCCTAATACCTTGAAGCGATTGCTCAAGACTCATATGTTTATTTCTTGGTTGTAGTGTGTCAGTAAGTGCTGACATGTTTTGTTTGTACTCCTGTCCTTACGTGTACATAATTAATGTCTGGTTGAGAAAGTTCTTCCTTGTGTGGAGGAACTGGTTTTCTTGTTATTGTGAATGGTTTATCTTTTGTGAATGAAGTACTACACTCAGTGATCA